ATGGCCTTGTTTGAACGGGCAGACTTCTCTGGCTGAATTCTCAAGTGAGCGGTCGAATTGGGTCAATTTGATGTTAAGTTCTAGCCGCGCACTGCTATAAAAGCCCAGACCTTGGCCGATTTTGTTGCGGATTTCTCACCTGGAACTCATCCGGTGTGCCCGATCGACATTGCCGCAGCAGATGGTGAGGCGAACCCAAGCATAACCCAGACACAACAACTTGGTGGAGTTGGCAACGCGGAATTTACGCGCCCCACCGACACACCTTTAGTTAATACAACGACACCTCCCGGTGATGCGATGACGGAGTTGGATATCACCGCCCAACCTGCTCTGTTCGGTAGCGCATCACCAAGGGGGGGAAGGCATGGAACTACTCAGTGCAGAGTCTACAGTCGGCATAATACCGCAACTTGGTGATTCGCCTACGGACTTGGGCATCGTAGTTCAACCGAGCTCGACTGACCATTGCATAAGTCGGCCGAACAACTCTAGTTGTTGCATTATCTTTTTCAAAGGTTGGTCAGTGATGATGATAATGGGGTGGGCCTGGAAGTAAGGTCGGAGCCGTCTTGAGGCTATGACCAAGGCTAGGGCCATCTTTTTAAGCAGTGGGTAGTTCTGTTCTGCTCCCCTGAGAGCCCGACTAATGTAGTAAACCGGACGCTGGACAGAGTTGTCCTCCCTGATGAGGGCTACACTGACTGTAGTGTTCGATACGGCTAAGTAGAGAAAAAAGGGCTCACCCGTGATCGCCTGAGAAAGTAGGGGGGGTTGGGCATGCACTGCTTCAACTGCTAAAAGGCTTCTTCGGATTCTATCGTCCACTCAAAAGACTGCCGAAGGACTTTGAAAAAGGGGAGACACTTGTCTATTGCGCGGGAAATAAAGCAGTTGAGGGCGGCAACTCTGCCCGTAAGTCTTTGAACTTCTCTAACTGTTCTGGGTGACTGCATCTCTATCAGAGCCTTGATCTTTTTGGGGTTAGCCTCGATACCCCATTGACTGACCACGAAACCCAAGAATTTCCCAGATCCGATGCTGAAGGCGCATTTCTCCATATTCAACTTCATTTGATACTTACGCAGAGTGTCGAAGGTCTCTCGCAAGTCTGCCAGATGATCAGAGGATAGTTTGCTCTTGACAAGCATGTCATCAACGTATACTTCCATGTTCCGACCTATCTGGTGATGAAAAACAGCATTGACTAACCGTTGGTAAGTCGCTCCAGCGTTTTTCAACCCAAATGGCATGACACGATAGTGGTTGGTCCCCCGGTCAGTTATAAAGGAGGTGTGTTTCTAGTCCGATAGGTGCATCAGAATTTGATTGTAGCCAGAGAAAGCATCCATAAAGTTGAACATTTGATGACCGGCGGTGGCATCGACAAGTAGATCTATGCGGGGAAGGGCATAGCTATCTTTGGGGCAAGCTCGGTTGAGGTCGGAGTAATCGACACAAAGTCGCCATTTACCATTGTTCTTACGGACCAGGACGACGTTTGACAACCATCTAGGGTAGTCCACGTTTTTGATGAATTGTGCCCTAAGGAGCTTGTCGACCTCTGAGGCAATGAGAGTGTTGCGCTCTGGATGAAAAATGCACTGCTTCTGGCAGTAAGGTCGGAAATGGGGTTCAATGCTGAGGTGATGGGTTATGAATGAGGGGTCAATACCCGGCATGTCTGAGTGGGTCCAGGCACATACATCATTGTGCTCAATTAAGAGGGCCGTAAGGTCGGTCTTTGCTTGGGGGGATAGTTGGCTGCTGATTTTGGCAGTTTTCGTCGAGTTGGCAGGGTCGATGGAAACCTCAATGAGCTCCTCCACAAGCTCCCCTCTGACTAGCTCATCCTCATCTCGGACGTCAAGTCCTTCAATGATCATGGTTTCCTTAAGCTTAACTTCTTTAAGTGAGGCAACAAATCATTCTTTGGCCATAGTCTGGTCTCCCCTGACTGTGCCGACCCCAAGGTCGGTAGGGAACTTGACGGCGAGATGGAAGATGGATGTGATGGCTTGGAAGGCGTTTAGGGCAGTTCGGCCAAGGATGATGTTGTAAGCAGAAGAGCAGTCGACAACAAGGAAGGTGAGCAACTTGGTGGTCTGCCGTGGGTACTCGCCGATGGTGATGGGGAGATCGATGGAGCCGATGGAGGTCACCCGGTCACCAGTGAAACCGGCCAAAGGGGTTTAGAGAGGGGAGAGACTTTCTTCCCCGATCTTGAGCTGACGGAAGCAGTTGAGGAAGATGATGTCTGAAGAGCTGCCATTGTCTGTGAGAACCCGTCTGACCTTGTAATTAGAGAGGAGGGCCGAAATGACAAGGGAATCATCGTGGGGTTAACGAATGCCTGTGCAGTCGGCGTCCGTAAAGGTGATAGGCTCGATCCACTGCCTGGGCTGTTTGGAGGGTCAATCCAACGTGGCAATTTCTTTATTTGAGCCTTGCCTTATTTTTCTGAGTTATGCCCGTTGAGCCGAGCGAGATGGTCTGCCGCAAGCAAGTCCGCCGGAAATAACTCTGATTTCTCCAACAGATGGGGCGGGGTTACCCTGTGCTCGAGGTTGCTGTGGGGGGCGGTCATGGCCTTGGTTAGGTTGGGCTGGTTGCCGGGGAGGGGGGCGCCGGCGGTTGTTTCTGAGGGACTCATTCCTCTGCCTCCGCTGAGGGCGGGTGTCCGTGAACCGGCTAAGACGTCCCTGACGTATGAAGGTCTCGACCTGATCTTTGAGGTTGACACACTCATTGGTGTTATAGCTGTGGTCTTGGTGGAAACAGCAATATTTGGACTTGTCTTTCCGACCGGAGGGGGTTCGCGATGGTTGGGGCCATTTGAGGAGGTAATCCCGCTGGATCTGGTTGAGGACTTGCTCCGTGGGGGAGTTGAGGGGTATGTACCGCTCGAACCGACCGGGCAGTCGGGCTGGTGCCGACCGGTCGGCTTGGGGGGTTCGGTCTATATAATGCGGTGTTTGATTATTGTACTGGGTATTTCTGGCTTCTGGGTCTTTTCGCTTTTCTCAGGAGGTCAGGTTTTTTGTTGTAGGGTCTTGGCGAGCGGCTAGGGAATCTTCTGCGTTCATGTATTTTTGGGCTTTAGAGAGTAGGGCTGCCATGGAGGTGGGGGGGTTTTTAGAGAGGGAGAAGAGGAAATCAGACGATCGTAGTCCGGCCATGAAAGCCGTAAGGATGACCTTGTCATCGTTTTTCGCCACCTGTAGTGCTTCGGTGTTGAAGCGGGTAACGAAACTGCGCAGGGACTCCCCCTCGGTCTGGTGGATGTTGAGGAGTTGGGTTGCCGGATGGCGTTGGCGCTGGGCTCCAATAAAATGGCTGAGGAAAGAGTCACTGAGATACTAGAAAGTGGAGACGGAGTCTACTGGTAACTGGCTAAATCACAGCTAAGCTGACCCTTTCAGTGTCACGGGGAAAGCTCGACACATGATCTTGTCAGGGAATGCATGGAGGATCATGAGGGTTCTGTAGGTCTCCAGATAGTCGACTGGGTCCGTCGTACCGTCAAAAGAGTCGATGGTGGGCATTTTAAACTTGGGGGGTAGAGGTTTGTCCCGGATGGAGGCGACAAATGGTGAGTTTACTGTGGTAGAGGGTTTATGCTGGATGTTTTGCATGACCCCTTGGAGTTGAAGCTTCATGGCTCGGAGTTCTGCATCCCAGAGAGGGATGTTATCGCCACCGGAAGGCAGAGGGGGTTGGACGCTACTGGCTTCCCCCTCAGGAGTTGGTGCCAGGACCAATGGATGCGGGGGTCGGGGAGGTAGATTCATGTTAGGAGGAGGAGGGTGCAAACCTTCCAAGTTGGGTGGATAGGGCTGTGATAGTATGGCTCGGGGCTCGTTCTTGGTTGGGAGGAATATCTGGTGGTGGTGGAGGGGGTATAGAAAGGTTTCTTTGGAGTAGAGCATTTATCAGGGCTTGGTTTTGCTCAGCCATGCGGTTGATGCTGTTAGTAAGCTCGATGAAATACTGTGGTGGGTTATTTGGATTGGGGGGGTCGGCTTGGTGGTCGGCGGCATTTTGGTGAGAAGCCATAGATCTAGTCGAGACAATACACTTTAATGGGTATCAAGAAAGGGTTATTGGGACAGGGTCTCCGGTGACAATGAACACAACTGGCACAATGAGCAAAGCGTTCCCACAGACGGCGCCAACTAATGATACAGTAATGATAGTAGGACGGGTTGGACTGATCCACGCTCTTTAAGCCTAATATCCGAATGATCAAACCCACCAGAGAACCTGCACACGAGTTCAACGGGGAACGGGGAGTCCCCCAGCGAACCCTCCGACGAGCAAGTTACAGAGAGAGAGTGGAGTATGTAGATAGGTTAGAGATAGAAAGTTTAACCTTCTTCTTGTCTTCAACGTCTGCTTATATCCTTTGGTAATCATTTTGTTGTCCCTTCCGACCTATCACCTTGACCAAAAGTCTATGTTATAGCTTACCTTGTTTAGGGTAAGGTGTGCTGTCCCGACGGAGAGGTGTTGTCGTAATAAATGTTGTGACGGGTTGCATTAATGGCGGTGTGCAGTGGCAATAACTTTGCAGATCTTTGTCTGCTGATGTGGCTTGCCGTTTACCTGCCACGTGTCTGAATATCATTGGTCCTTCATGTCATGTTGACTTCCAGCCGTGTTAGTCCTTATCAATTGGGTTATGCATTGAGCCCTAAGTGGTAGGCTTGGATTGTTCATAGTGGGTTATGGACTTTATAAGTCTATCCACGTCAAGACTTTATATAAAAATCAATTATAATACAACATGATAACATGATAAATAAATAAGTCAAGTGCCAACCAACTTAATGTAAAGTTGACACGAATAATTTGTTTAATGAAATTACCAAATTTATTGCAGAATTTAATATTATTTTTACAAAGAGTTTTAATGGCATGTTTAATTTTCTATGTAATCTCATTCAATTGAATAAAAAATATATATAAAATAAGATTTTATGGTGAATATAGTATTTTTGTTTTTTATTTAAGATAATATCATCTTTTCATTTGCTATTTTGAAATCAATTTAGTACAAATAAATAAATAAATAAATAATCGATTTTAGTTTATTTAAATTGAAGAAATGAAATTGAGTTGAAAAACATTTTTATGAATAATTTGATAAGATTTAAATTGTAGAGAATATATATATATATATATATTTTCACAAGACTTTGTATTTTTAACTAAAGGTGATTTTTGTTATTATTATTACTATTATTATTTTTTATTTTTTATTTTTTTTTAAACCCGACACCTTAATAAAATGGCATGAGCATGACATGAAAAATTGAACGAGTTCAAATAGTGTTAAACAAAATTTTACACACGACAAATAGGACTCAATTCTCGACCTTGTTTTAACCGTTGTGATTATTAGGTGGATGATACCCTGGGCGTATTTCACACACATGCCGTGGCGGGGCTGCTAGGTGGCCTCCTCACTGGACTTCTAGCCGAGCCAGCCCTTTGCCGACTCATACTACCAGTACCCAACTCAAGAGGTGCATTTTACGGCGGCAATGGCGGCATACAGTTTCTGAAACAACTAGTGGCGGCTTGTTTCGTCATCGCCTGGAATGTTGTGTCAACAACAGCAATCCTCTTAACAATACGCATTTTTGTGCCTCTGCGAATGCCAGATGATCAACTGATGATTGGAGATGACGCTGTTCATGGAGAAGAAGCCTATGCATTGTGGGGAGATGGCGAGAAATATGACCCAACAAAGCACGGTTGGCACATGTCGTCGTACACGGAGCAAACGGCACCATCTGGGTTTGTCCATGGTGCAAGAGGTGTCACCATGAATCTATAGATTGATCAGTTCTTCTATTTATACAGAATTCTATTTATACAGAAATCAATCATAGAACCAGATATACTCATGAGAATTGTGTCTAGCTGTGACTTTTTCTGATTCATTGCTTGCCCTAAGCATGCTTTGTACAAACAATTTTCGATATGGTAAATTCCATTTTGACTGAAAAAAAAAAAAAAAAAAAAAACATAGAAATCTTTGGCAAATCACTTGAATGCAGGAATGGTAACTCAGAAAAAGAGAGATTCAACAACACCAATAGATTCATAAAATGAAAGTAACAATTCTGTCCTTAAACGAGTAATAATATTGAGATCTGTACCAAAAATAACTAAATATGCAGTACATGCACATATTTAGTGTTCCCCGTGACTTATGTTCTGTATTTCAAGAGTTATAAATCCTAAAAGGGTATAAATACTACCTAATCGAAGCGTTCCCAATCTTGAGTCACCTCTGTAGAAGATGGAAAGGGTGGAGGGGCACTGAGGCTTCCCATTCCCGAGTCAAAGGTCTCCCATTTGGTTGTTACCGAGACAGCCTTGTTGTTGTTGCTGAATGGATTCGAGTTTCTTGCCTTCAGCGAGTCCACTTTATCCACCAAGCTCTGAACACGACGCACCTGTTCAGCAATTTATAAGTTGACGTAAATTTCCATTGACATGATACAAAACTTTGAGGCTGTTTTAAGTTGTACTCCTAGCAGCTTAAGAACTTGTTTCAAAAATGCCCCAATCAATCTGATCAGAGATGTGCAACAAAAACTTGATACACACTTGGTTTTCCCATATTCCACAGTAATAACAATAGACCATGGTTATTGCCAAAGCAAACAGTGCATTGAATGCTTGTACAATACAACCCAGCAATGCACTGTTAACTTTGGCAATAGCTGCTGCCATAACAACAATAGTAAAAAAATGGATGGACAAAGATTATGTACAAAATTTTCTTGATCAATGAGGAAAGCACATCTCTCCATTTTATGCAACCAAAGAGCTAGGGAAGCCAAAATTAAAAGTCAGGCGAAATAGAAGAAAGATGCTAGGTGCCTAAAATTTGGATTCTGGTAAGGCATAATGGAGACCTAGACAAGGTTTAATCATCAAATTGAACTAGAAGGGGGTACGCACCATGGATGTCTTCTTCACCTCATTTTATTTCTTCTCTTATTAAGTACCTTTACATATCAAACTTTCTCACATTACCAAGGGGCAAGGCTTTAAAAGAACGAAGACCAAAACTGCTTATGTACCGAAATTGTTTCTCCAAGTAAAGCGCAAGTTCTATTGTAAAGTAGATATTATCTTCCCAAATTAACTCTTAAAACCTGAACACGAGGGGGGCATAGAAATGGAAGGAGAATAATTGACTAATATCATGTAGAAATTAATGCATCTACACAAATAGATAGTAAAGCGATCATTTAAAACACTTTCAGCATTTTTCATTAACAAACTGGGATTTGGCTGGAGACTGAAACATTGATGCGAGACCATTATGATTTATGATATATGCCACAGGAAATAACCTTTTCCCAATGATTTACAAGTGGACAAGAGGGTAAAGAATATAACAGATCTGAATACACCTAAAAATAGAGTTCTATTAGCTATAAATCAAGATGGGACTTCTATCCCACAGGCTTGGATCAGGTGGTGACATTGGGTTTGATAGGTCTTTGGTTCAAATTGCCTAGTTGATCAAACTTTTGAAATAACGTAGGAATGAATATTTCAATAAAGTAATTGACAAGAATAATAGCAGAGGGGTACCGAGTCAAAATTAGGGATTCAGCAATATTTGATGCTTTTTTACATCTCACTTAGAGAAGGAACAAACGCAAAACCTACATACTCTTCAGGACTATGAAATAGATACAAGTTAAAAGAATTCAAGTAGGTATCTCCACAAAGTTATTACCCTTCAAATTCAAAAATCTATTTTAATTCCCTCTATTTTCAACAAGGGCAACTCACAAGTCCCCAATCCCATAAGTGCACGTCTGTAAATTAGGTTGATTTTAACTTCTACCAGATTTAGATTATTAACATAGAAATTGAATGACTAAAATCAACAAATTAAGTCAAATTTTCATACATAACCTACTAAATGAATGCATTAGATGGAGGAACATACTTGCGCCAACTTTTACAGAAATGTGAGAAAAATTACATTTCCAATAGTGCTGAGTGGCCATATATCCAATAATGTCGGTGTTGGAAACCCAATAAGGGAAAAGCATAATAGGAAACCAAATAAGTGAAAAACATAAATTAAGTGTAGGAAACCAAGTCAGTGAGAAACAAAATTCTCAAAACAGTTAATGAATAGAATATGAACATTTTTGGACACAATATTACACGCAGCCATGCAAAATCTCGCAGTGAATTTTGAACATCATACAGCAACAAATATTGGTCTGAAGTTCAATCAGATTCTGGCTTTAAGCAGTCTAAGATTCTAAATTTGACAAGCAGCATATCTAGAACGGAGAAGAGAAAAAAAAAAGAAGTAATAATAACAACAACCTCAAGGACGCTGAACACTAACCTGAAGCTTTCGTTGCACTTTCCCTTCTCCTTCAGCCTCAATGCTATCCAATTTCAGCAGCTGCCTCATTAGCAACTCACTCAAAACGACAAAATCCTTCTCTCCAACCTTGGTCCCACCATTCACAACTACTTCCAGAGCAGCCACCTACAAAAGAAAACGACCCAAATGAGTCTAATAGGAACCAGGCCAATACAGTGGTAGTGAATAAAAAGGGCTCACCTGTTCTGCAAGCTTATCAACCTCTTCCCTGACTTCAGCAACAGCTGCACAGGCTCTTGACAACTTATCACTCTTCACCTCCTCGACCTTCCTTTCTTTGCTTGTGCCTTCCAGATTAGCCACCTGTTATAAATAAATAAATAAATAAATAAAAGAGCAGAACGAGTCCCCAGGGTACACGGGTAATACCGACAAAATAATAAAAAGGATCTACCTCTTCTGCAAGCTTATCAACCTCTGGTTTGACTTCAGCAACGGCTGGACAGGCACTTGACATTTCAATGCTTTTAGCCTCTTCATGCTTCCTCTCTTTTCTCGTTGGTTCTTGAATGAGTAACACCTTTGCATTGTCCTTCACACCCGCCATGTGCAAATGTTCTCGATCCTCTTTCTCCTTTCCTCTGAACAACAATCTTTGTTGATTAGGCTCCAAACTAGTTTGTTGGGCGATACACCTTTTCAGATCCCCTTCCATTAACACAAATCAAAATAAGCATAAAGCAGCTCCAAAAAAGACAGCTTAGATTTTGCTGTAATTAGGTTATGCTTCAATATTTTGCAATACTACAGATTTCATTCTCAATTAACTCCTGAACATCCCAGTACAATGATACATCCATTGTTGTGGTTTCAATATCTAATTCATACCACAGGGACGATATCCTAATACTTCTTTTGATTTTAATTCTTATACAATGTTTTATAAACTATTTTGAAAACAGGCATGCAAAACAGAATGACTCCATCACAATCAGTATGCATACACAGAAACCTATATTAATGACAAGTACAAAGTAAGAACACAGAAAATAAAATTAAAGTAGAACTTTATATATGAAAACCCTCTAATCCAGTAAATTGTAGAGCAGCTTAACAGGAGGAGGAATAAAAATAGGCAGAAAGAATCCAATTTAGAATCTCCCCATGAATGAAAAATAAAAAAGCATATACCCATCAATCTCACCCACATTATAGCATGATATCAAAAGAAGAAATAATGATGTTCCCAAATGCTCAACCCATAATTGAATACAAAATGTCTTATGTCTAAATCAGGTCAAATCCCTTTTTTCTTATTCTGCTTACTCATTCAAGCTAAATAAATTCATAACTTTCTTTTACTACTACATTCCATGTCAATTTAGGACCATATCCTCAATCCCCAAAAGGGACAAAACCCATTTGATATCTTGGGAAAAAAAAAGAAAAAAAAAAAGACCAATCCACATAAGCAATTTGAGAAGACTAATAAATTATTAAACCCCTAAAGTGAAGTACATATGTCTACTTTAACTACTTACATCCAAACATATATACAAACACTAAATCGGCAGGAGTGAAATTGCAGGGAGAACTATAAAATTAACCGAATACCCAAAAAATTAACTCCTTACTGAAACACTTTCTCGCCTTATTTTCTCTCGCACTTTCCAGAAACCCAAAGTTAAAAAGAACAAAAACCCAGAAAGAAGAAGAAGAAGAGTTACCAAAAGTGGATTGAGAAGGAACAAAAAGGTCGAGCTGATTAGAACCATGAACGACCTTGACCTTGATTGTGGGTCCACCATCACCATGAAGATGATCGTCTTCGTTGTCTTCTCTCTTCTGTACAAGCATGCCTCCTGGCCTCACCTCCCACTCGATCTCCTCATTGTTGTTGCGATTTTCGGCCACTGTAACTCTCGAATTCGATCCTTTCATTGCCAAATCTCTCAGCAAAGTAGAATTGAGTAATTGGTATGAGCTAGAATCTAAAATGGGTTTAGGGAAAAAGATCAGAATACAAGTAACAACAACACAATCAATATGGAGGGTTTTTGTGTGAAAAGGGACGGTTGGTCGGCTTCGTTCCTGAATATTTATATTATCACGGGGGTTGGGAAAAGAATTTGTCGGTCAAATTAGTTAAATATTACTTTACGTTGAACTCGAATGTAAATATTACTTTACGTTGAACTCGAATGTAAATATTACTTTACATTGAACTCGAATGTACTATAGATTTTTAATTAATAAAAAATTATATAAAAATATTTTTTTTGAAAAAGACCTACAAAGGTAAGAATGATATTTTTTATAATTAAAGAAGACAAAATATATAAATTTATAGATAAAGAGATAAAATGATAATTATTAATAATCTAAATTTATTTGAGGATAGGAAAGCTAGAATGTACGGTTTACTAGAAAGAGAAGATTGTCTCCCGTACTTGGGCTAGTTTGGCATGTACTAAATAAGTCAAAAAGTTAAAAAGTCACTATCTTATTTAAGTCATATCATCTTATTTAAATCGCATCACCTCTCTAACACATCATATCAAACCCAACCCAAACCCAACCCAAACCCACCAATAAGTCAAAAAGTGCACTTTTTTAGGACATCCCAAACCAACCCTGAGTTGCATTCACCTGGGAGACCACCAATATGGGCTGGCCGACCACCTTTTGAGCTTGACCCTTTTGAACCTGGTCGGCTGACTAGGGGGCATGGTCGGCCGACCACCTGAACTGGTCGGCCAGCCATCTGCTTTTTCCTCTCTCTGAGTATGTTCCAACTGTGCCAGCTGGGAGGCATTGGTGCATCCTTCATACACGTGTATGGAGGATGTTTGGCCTAGCTTTTAAGCTTCTTTGAGAAGCTTTAGACCTTCTCCTCTATAAAGGAAGGGCCTCCCCTCCTTGGCCTTGGTTTAGAAAAGTGCTGGAGCATACATGCATATATCTCCCTCTTGTATCTCTATATTGCCTCCAAAACTCCATAGTTCTTGGCCTATCACACACCAACCCTTACCTTAACCTTTCCACCATCTATCCAAGCACCTTGGAGCTATTTCTCAGAGGTTGAAGGGTTGCTACATTGGTCCAGAAGTTGCTGGAGGTCTGCTCTACAAGGGTAACTCTCTATTTCCCTCTTTGTAGCACTATTTTGCTTCATCTTTTAGCCTAGTTTGCAAGCATATTTAGGCTTTGTCATAAACTAAAAAAAGTCTTACTTTGAGCTCCTCTTGAATTTTGTTTAAGGTCATTTTTCTGTTGGGGGTCATCTTCCCCCTTGCATGCTTGTTTTGACTTTGTTGTGAGCCATGCATCTAGGGCTTTGCATTGGCCTTTGTTAGACCTCTTAGCCACTGAAATCCAGTGGATTTTTAGTGGCTAGTGTGCTGTTTTGAACCCCAAAATCAGAGTGGGGTGACCCTCTCACCCCTTGTTTTGTTTACTAGCATTGTTGGCTTTACAAAGGAGCCCATATTTTCACACTTCTTGAGCATGTTTTTTAAATAAACTCGTGAATATAAGAGTATAAACATTAATTTAATTTTTTTAATTTTATACTTGTATAAATTTTCATATTTAATGAAAACACCTTTAATTTAATTTTTATATTTATTAATAACATAAATATATTTGGCACATAATTTTCTGTTCTCTCCCATGTTAATCGAGGTTTGATTGTTCTTTTTTATTTCAAACTCGATTTATTTATGTAATTAGGTTAACGTAAGTCATGCTAATCGAGGCTTGAAATTCTTTAAAGGAAAAATTAGTTTAAGGTCCCTCTCCCATTTTCAGCATTGGAAGAGATTCATAATATTATTTTATGATGTCTAAGGTCCCTCAACCCCCACACCCATATATCACAAAGAAATTTGACTCTCTCAAATCAAATCTCATTTCTCTCTCTCTCTCTCTCTCTCTCTCTCTCTAAACTCTCTCTTCCTCTCTGCTAAATTCAACTCAACCATGACAAATTACTGTGTGTTCTTCTGCAAAATATTGATCGCAATCTTGCTCCCTCCTGTCGACATCTGCATCAGGCATGGTTGTTGCACCATAAGCCTCTCTCTCTCCCTCTCTCTCTTTCTCGATATGCACACACACACATATGTATATTTATATATGTACGTATATTGTGGATTGCAGTTAGGGTTCTTCATATGCTTGGTGTTGACGATCTTAGGTTACATTCCTAGAATAGTTTACGCTCTCTATGCCATCCTCTACGTCGATTGCGATACGACTCGTGCCGATTACTATCCACTCGCCTACTCTGTGTGTGTGTGTGTGTGTGTTTAGCTATAATCTTATGGTATTATACTCTAGCCCTATGTGTGAAATCAATTTGTTTGTGTTTTGAACTCTTGCTATTTGATTTGATTGTCTTTTATTAAATTCAATTTTTCTCTTATTATTTCAAATGCATATGTATATAGATTTTGGAGTGATTTGGTATAAATTATATGCAATTAAGTGGAAGTTTGTGATGATATATTAGATTAATTTCTGAAAAACTCAGGGATGTGTTGGTTCCTTTTTGATATTTGGTTGCTTCAATTTCTCTATTAATTTGTTTGCTTGCTCAGATATTGGAAGGAAAAAAAAAAATAGAAAATGTGATTTTGAATGGAAAATTTTCTTTGGTTGGGAACTTTCTCTAATGCTGTTGATGCTGCACTTTCTTATGATAAGTCTGCAAAAGTCTTGTATGGCGTTGATGCTATATTGAATTTTCTTAGCTACAAAACTGACTTGATCACTAAAAGTACAACAATGTTGGGTAACTTGTGAGTGGTTTAGTGCCATGGATTTATGTGAAGTTTGTTCAAAGTGAGTCGTTGATTTCAACAACAATTTTGATTTTTGACGAATCACTGTAACAAACAAGAGTTGTAGTATTGGTGTAATACAATTTTCTATGTGTTGAAATCACTTTGTGTTGGCTTTTTTTATCAATTTTCTCTGGTTGAGTCAAAACACAATTTTCTCTGGTTTGATCAAAACACAAAAAAAATTATAAGCAAACAAAAGAATTTGGGAAAGATGGGAATGAAGTTAGAAGAGAAGAGAGAACTGCCATTTAACACTCTCATGTTTGTAATTTTCTCTAGCATGTTTAATTTTCTTTGCCATGTGTAATTTTCTCTAGTTTGAACTCAGAGAAATTCTTTGGGATGCCTAGAATTTCTCTGGAGAGTCCAGAGAAATTCTCTTGATTGAAATTTCCCTGAATCGATGTTGAGGGACCTTAGACATTATAAAAATATTAAATGTCCTTTATATTATAAAATCTTAATACCAGGAACCTTTTAAAAAAAAAAATCCCTTCCTTAAAAATGAAAATAAAGAAGCAGAAACAATATCAAACATGTGATAAACTTTCACTAGTCTCTCCTTCTATTTACTATGTCATGATATTTACTCTTTTGAAAAGGTTATATTTACAGAAAAATTAAATAAAAAATACATCCAGAATCATATGGTGAATATATTTTTGAATTAAAATTTAATTTCTTGAGTATTTTTATTTTAAAATGAATTAACTTAATTCAATCACACAATTATATAATTTTTATGTTTGCATAATGTTAATTATTCTTTGATCGCCTTATGAGTTTTGATATGGAAGATTCTACAAAAATAACAAACATGATCAACAATGGAGTCATCAAGCTGTGTGTATATGCAGAATCACCCCCGTGAGAGTGTGGTTCAATTTTTGCAGATATTAAGGTGTTGGCTCAACATCATTGTTTGTCTTAATGGTGTTCAAGGGAAGCAAACAGTGCTGCTCACTGGGTGGCGCGGGCAGGGCTAGGTAACTTTTTACCTTTTGATTGGGTGACTAATTCTTCCCAAGATCTTGTTCATTGTCTTTCTGATTGCAATTGTAATTGGCTGCTGTTTGTTTTACAAAATCATAGATGGGCATCCTATCATTTGAAATAAAATTTCCCTTGAAACCAATAGAACCACCATTAATCTTGGGGAAAATTAAGTTCCTATATTAACATTTCTATTAGTTTAGTTCTTTTAATTCCAATTGTTACAAATTTCTACACCTAAATACAACAATGATTTTTTGTTTTTTTTAACAAAAAAATTTCATGTGTCTGGTGCGTGACCACTAAAAATAAAGAATTTTAGGCATTACACTTTTTTCTTCCTATAACCCAACCCTCAATCCAAAACAATGAGTTCACTCACTCTCTTTTCTCTATCATTACAATAATAATAATAATAATAATAATAATAAATTAATTAATTAAAAAAAATGGGTTGGCTTCCCTCCAGTTCGTCGTTCAAAAAAAAAAAAAAAAAATCATAGATGGGCATCCTATCATTTGAAATAAAATTTCCCTTGAAACCAATAGAACCACCATTAATCTTGGGACAAATTAAGTGTTGAAACAACCTTCTATGTAAATAAAATAAATTGAAATAAAACCAAACAAATAAATAAATAACATACCGAATTTATTTATTAAACCGAATTAGAAGAAAATTCAAAGACCAAGTCAAGTGTGTGACACTCTGTCCTTAAGACAGATTCGCCCCGCTATGGTGCTTACAGTTGAGTGGCGTCTATCTCCCAGGATACAATGATCTTCACAAACTTGTAGAAGCACTTCAAACAAATTTGTACGGTGAACCAAACCTTGTGTTCTATACTCTATTTGATTTTTCCTAAAACTAGAATGAAGGAAAATGCACTAAATAAAATCTGGACAACAAATGCATAAAAGCATACTGATTTTCAAATTTTTAAAACACTGCTGGAATGTTGGTATTTATAGGCAGCACATCTAACCCGAACTAGTGCAATATGGAAGTAAACAGGTGCAAATTCAAACTGTACAGGTATAGTTTGAATTTCAAACAGATCTGGCACTGTTTCAACAGATAACTGCAGCAGTTATTCATCTGTTAAGAAACTGCTCAAAACCGAATATGTTATGGACTATTTCGAACCTGTTGTCATGGACTGAATAAGGGAAGAATTTAGGACATAAATTAAATTCAAATTTGAATTTAATTAAATTTTTCCGCAATTAATTTTGAAAAAATTCAAGAGAATTTTTTGTCCAAAAAATTAATACA